AATATAGTACTCCTTCCCATAATTTGAGGTAACATGGAAAGGGCCCCACACATCAGAATAAACATACTCAAGAATTGTCTTGGAACTATGAACGCCAATTCCAAAAGCACGTCGAGTGTGCTTTCCAAATACGTAATACTTCAAGCTTGCAAGAGCTCAAGCTAGGTAATAAATTCTATTTGTGTAAATATTCACACCTTTTTCACTCATGTCGCCAAGACGAGCATGCCACAATCTGATCTCATACTCCAATGACATAGTAGCATTGGCCTCATCGAGAATTGTAGATTCCTCCAAGATATATTGTAAGACCTGATGTTGTATGTGTGAACTAGAACTAGAATTAATCAAGGAGTTAATCATGGTTATGATAGTCATGATTAAATATAGCTAGTTATGACTAAGTCTAGCTAGTTTAGCTATAATGTCTATACTTGGCGGAATAACTAGAGAAGTTCTAAAAGATTTGAGTTAGCACTTCTATTTTGTCTTGTACAAAAGTCTAGATTCCAAGAAAAAATAATTTTTGACTTCATGTTTAGTTTTGATTGGTTTAACTAAAGTAAGGAGTACTCCATTGATTAGACTATGTCTAATGTTGACTTAGTGGAAAGTGGAAGTTCTAGAAGTTAGAAAGTCACAAATGGCATGTCACCACCTCAATCTAAGAATTAGTAAACATCTAGAAAGTTTAAAAGGCCAATGGCATGTTGGCACGTATTGACCTTACTATGATTCATCTTTGTAAAAGTAAGTTAGATAGAAATTACCATTTGTTACTATGATAAATTTTCAAGTAATATATAGAGAGGTAGGGAAGAGACTCTCAAGCAAGTTTGAAGAGTTCATATGTAAAGACTTGTTTCATATATGAAAGAGTGACGAATTTTCAATACCTTAGAGTGTCGATGTGTGTGTGTGAGTTGGAGTGGTACCTTGAGAGATTGTGTGAGAGGGTGATTGGGCTATGAGTATGAGGATTAATCATAGTACTCTAGAAACATGATGAGCTACCAAAAAGCCATTTGAGTTAAACCTGAGAGAGAGTCAGCCCGGATGTTACATTTTTGGTTCTGTTGCTGGGACCTCAATTTAGAAGGCGGAATGTTTAGGATTTGATTTCTAGCTCGAGAGAAAATATCCATGATTGAACACTTGAAGTTAACATTGGGGAATGAAAGAGCGGAGAGTTCTAGGCTCTATCTTAGATAGCGCCATAGGTTTGATCAATCGATGACGTTTCGGAATGACTTCAACAAGACACTAAGAGACAAAGCTTGACTCCTCACTTTTGTCATCTGAATGCAGGGTTCCAGCATCTTCAGCAACAATTGAAACAAGTTCCACTCCTCGCTCCAAGCTACTCATGCCCAGAAAACGTTCACCATGTTAATCGTTCTCAACACTTAGCCCTAGAAAACGTCAAAAAAATGAAAGTTCTCAGAATTGAAATCTGAGACCATTCACGCGTAGTTCACAAGCTAACACACTAGAATGTGAAAACGGTTTGTCAAAATCAACTTAGAATAAAAAGTTATTGACCTCCGAGTTTATGGCGTAAAAACTTGAATCTGGACCCCTCAAGGTAATCTTTATTACCAAAAATTTACGCAAAGTCTATTTTCAAAACCGTCTTGTGTACTACGTGCTCAACTAGCTTGAAAACTAATCAAAGGGATATCATTTGCATACTCTAATACATCAAAAATACCAAAAAATCAACTCTCTGTTTGATTACTTTGTGACAAGATTCCTCACAGTTTCCTTGTGCAACTTACTTTCACGGTGCAGATTGATTAATTTCGTCTTCCAACCCAACTATTTTGGAACCACCTCCAACAATTTTGGAGCACCCTCAAATGCAAAATTTTCAAATTTTGTCACTCCAAAATTGCGACGTTGTGAAATCACAGTAGTATGAATTAACATAAATCTTCAAACACTCATAACTTGGCGACCTTCCATCAAAATTCAACAAAATTTAGGTCAAATTTATCGTCTCAAAAAAATATATCAAGCCTTTGTGTGAAGATATGAAAAATTTGATAACCAAAATTTTATATTTTGAAAAAAAAAAGAAGTTCTCTCACAGTAGATTGTAAGAAAACTTTCCGCTTCAATTTTCAAAAAATCTTTCTAATCACTCGATGAAATTTTCTAATTCTTTCATCAAAGTGAAAGTAGTGACTGTGATTACTCTTCTACAGAGAATCAGCCAAGTATAACTTCAAATTGCGAGTAGAATTTCCGACAACGCTTTTGCGCCTCCCTACTTTCCAAAACTGTGGAAATCAGAAATCTACGTGCATTAAACGAGCTCTGATACCAATTGAAAGAACACTCCATCCAGATCAATCAGCACGCACGACAGTCGCAACACCGAGATAACGTGATTATCCTTCGACTGGCTACGTCCATGAGCAAGAGCATAAACTTCACTAAAGCTTCAATGTATACAAGGCCTACACAACCAAGCGCTACTTCTTACTATTCACTCTCTCACCGCTATCCTGAACTGTACGTAAAGAGAGTATACTTCTCTCTTCTATACAAGAAAAGATAAAGTAGTCTAACATAACCTAACCTAACCAGAGGTAACTTTCCAACCATGGTTACCACTAACTTGAGTTAATCCAAGATAGAGTTAATCTAACATTGTGGAGATAGTTGAAAGAGTGGCAAGCTTGAACATAAGCGCGACCATGAAGATTATCTTGCAAAAACGAGATGAGCAACTTTGGCAGAAGTAGTTAGAGTATGCCAAACTTTGGAAAATTTTAGTAGCGGAGAAGGATCTTCACACGAAGGCGGAGCTGGAGTACGTCGACTTTCGGGTCGATATCAGCAATGCGCAGAAGGTAACGGTGGTTTTATGGGACAAAGTGAAAGTGTTTAGGAAGAGATTTGAAGGAGAATTGAAGCACGCAGAGGAGTTAACGACAACTCTGACGACGAGAGTTCAATCGCGTGCGGCTGAATTGATGTTGAGGCCAAAGGAGTTGTAGGATTGCGAAGCTGCCCGGTCTTTGGAGTTAGAGCATAGGGAGAAATTCAATGCTTATTGTAGCGAATTGCAATCTCAACTGTTGGCAGATGAGGAGCGGTTGATCGCAGCCAAAGCGAAATTGTTGGAGACGGAGTTGACAGTCTAGCAGTTAGAGCGGCGGACGGATGCTACGTTGTGCGCGAAGATAGAGCGATGTCTTCTCGGTTATGTGGAGAAATTTTCTCCCCTGAATATCCATTGCATAGTCATGTGAGGCTTCTGTGAAAACTTATTGGATGAATTTCAAGATTCGAGTGTAATTTCACCCTACAATGTGTCGTCTTCGATCTTAGGAATTGTAATCTTTTATGGAAATTACATGTGCCTAAGAAGTAAAACTTCTCAATAGAATGTTAATTTGTGACACTACTTGGTTCTCTGGGTTGTTATTGTACTCGTGATATTGGATTTTTACCATTATGCTCCATTTTGGTAATTGTCTGTCATTAGAAGTATCTCAAGCCAAATGTCTTCAAGCAAATGAAGGTGGCGCTAACGGTAGCAAATTTGTTTGCACCATTGCGTGATAAGTATCATTAAAATTGACCTATTCAATTGATTTTACACGGTTTTGAAGTTCATCAACTTTAGGATGGTAGAAGATTTTAAGATTCAAAATTATGTAGATTACTTCAAAGATTTGAAAAATGAGCAAAGAATGATTCAGTTGCTAAATTGTTTATCAATCTCACACTAGTTCTTATCACGGATGTTACTTAACTATGACAAGTAAATCATCACTTACAATGAAGTCATTATTACCTTATTGCCTGACGTTGTTGGATCTTTTTGCACAAATCATCTGTTGCGCTTGCCTATAATACATTAACGATTTTTTCATTTTACTTTTTCTACTTTGCATGTTATGTTCTTCTAGTTGATCTTGTTCTATGAAGTTTGATATGAATCTGCATCTTTCATTTGCTATTGTACCTATTCTTTCTGTTTAGAGCTTTTGTAGTCCCTTTGAAAGTATACTGTCGACATGCATTGTTTTGTTAAGCTTCATTCACCTTCACTTTTCATGCTCAACACGATTTTCCAATAGCTTAGCATTGTGAACCATATATGAACTATGATGTGTTTTCTTTATTTTTCATCTGATACATAATTCCGTTCTTTATTGAGTGTAAGTCTCTCCTTGGAAGTAAACAACTCGAAGATTGGAACAAAACCGTTGATAGAGAAGACACATTGTAGAGTACAGTACTTTGGCTAATACAGCTCGCTAATATGACTACAATGAATTTTTTACAAACAACTATGTAATATTGGAGTAAATCTAAGGGATCTTCAAATCAAAGCTACATTTATTGCATATCTCATCAATGATCCCGATTTTCACTTAGCGATTTTCACTTTTCACGATCTAGAAAAATCCCTTGTTCCAAAAAAAAAACAATTCTCCGTTCAACATTGCATACTATGGACAATAATCCTTATATACTATATATATAAGGATTCGCCCTAGGCACATGAGATAATTCCCAAGTCGCATATGTTTCCCACTTCTGAATAATCATTGACATGGATGAACATTGCCAATCTTCTCTTCTCGTTGTTCAATTTTTTGTCTTTGGACCCAGTTTCTTTCCCTTGGATGTCCCAGCTTTGTCCCTTTCTCTGATGTTTTTTGCCATCAGTTATTCTCTCCATGTTAAAAAGGAAGCGTGCAGTAGATTCATGTATGTACGTACATCTTATAAGGTTTCCAATGTTCGTTTCAAGGTTCATGACAATGACAAAGACTTAAGCTCCAGTTGTCATTCTCATGTTTTCAACATCCTTTGGATTCATAACAGGAGCTGCAAAGAGACGGTATAAGACGGGAAGAGAGCGTTGCTATTTCAAACACAAGTTAACATATTCAATATCTTAATTGATAGTCAAGACTGAATCTTTTGTTATTAGTAAATGGATATATTCAAGATATCAATCAAGGAAAATGTGAATTCTAAAAAGATCACTAAGATAGCAATATTATTTTAAAAAGCTGTTACAAGTTCTAGTGTTATTTGATCCTTTGGGTAGCTTGTTTTATGTTGCGCGCAAGAATATAATGTACCACGAAAATTACATCAGAAGATGTAATCTTCGTGCTTCTTATCTCAAGATGCCATTATGAGTATATATAAAGTGGACATAGTGGAGTGTGAGGATATCAGAGTCGCTTTATCCTGGTCTGCTCGGTTTCGTTGTGGCTAGTTTCTCGGATTCACATTTGTCATCGATATACTAGATGGGGGAGACGTATCTCAAATAATAAGCAGGTCTTGCTTTGGACGAAACAATATAAACTCCACTTAAGTCCCCAGAGATCGCACGACGTGATAAGGTGATTCTGTCAAATGCGTGTATGTTTCCAGCTGCAAGCACCCTGCCACTAGCCCGATTCAATGCACTAACACATTAAAGTGACTGTCTTTCAAGGCATCCTTTCTGCAGATCAGGGTCTGTCTCGCGCTGCAACAAAGTGACCTCGCGCATTAGAATGCATTCTGTGCTAGTCCAAGCATCATGAATCTTCAATCGTTTGTTTCAGATAGTTACTATAGCACATCCCACAGACTTACAAAGTTTCCCAAAGTAGAGTGACTTCGATAAAATGAAGAGAGCCTCTTAATTTAGAGATGAAGAGTTACAAATAGCAACAATGTGCTCGTGCATTCTGGTGGAGACAGAAGTGAGAATGTATTGTCCCACTCAATATTGACAGATGGACTACGCGCGAAAGCATCTTGAAGAGAGTCCAGACTAATTGCAAAGATATTCCTCCACTAACATAATAAACTGGTATTTTTCCATTGTAACAAAACGTTCACAGTTGTTTTGAATTAGAAGAGTGTATCGTTGGTTATTTTACGCTTTCGAGGCTTTTTCTCTTCAGGTTGCTTTTGCAAGTCCATAAATTCTGTTCCTTTGTTTGCAAACAGCCTGCGCAAGTTTATGACAGACAGTTCTGTGAAACTGCTCACAGCAAGATCAGCCTGAGTTAAATCATATCTGCAACATCACCACAGAAGAATCCATTAGAAAACATGCTTAATGCAAAGTTGAGAACACATATTGATTGTAGTACAGGCACTGAGAATTACGAAACAAGTGAGAGGCTTTCACACGTAACAGATACGGAGATTGAAAAACTCTTCGTGAACTCCTGAAGCCTACAATAGAATATTTCGCTAGTGTGTCTACAACCCAGTTCAGAATAAGACCAAAGTGGTGATCACTTGATGTGGGCAGAAATCATTCTAACTAAAATGGAAGCACACAGCTGTTGAGTGAAAACTTACGCAGGATGAGATCCAATAAGAGCCACTGCCTTCATTGTGCAATTGTGTGCGGCTGTAATACCCCTTGGATTGTCTTCAAATACCACACATTTGAAAGGAGGGCGATCAAGCTGTGATTACAAATAACTCAATTGTTCAGACCTCCTTCACCTTCCTCCTTTTCTTAATATACATGTAAGCCTGCAAACGAACACCAACTTTGTGCGAAAGGACAGAACTTGGCAGTTACCGTCTTACAGATGGACTCAAGTTGTTTCGAGTGATGCCCTACTACAAAGCAGAGGCATATGGTCTACAATGTAGAACAAACCTTAACAGCTGCAGATAAAAATCGATGAGCTATGGAATCCATGCCATCTTCTTCAGATACAACGGCCTGTACAAAACGAGAAAACCATGTCTTTACTGATGACATAACTTGAATATGCATCTATCTGTGGAACATACAAAGGCAAGACGATGAATCAAAAACAACTGTTCATACCTGAAAATATTTCCGTAGGCCCATTCTTTCCAGGGCTGCTAATAAAGTTAAACGATCCAATGATGATGCCACAGCGCATGGCACTCCAGCAGTATCCAAAGCCTCTAGCCACTCCCTCACTCCCTCCATGGGAGTTCTAACCTATGTGCATCCGCTTCAACAATTTTGAGAAAAGACGAGTAGATAGAACTCACAGCAGTAGAGTGTAGCATTGAGAAACTACAGACTTCCAAACTAATGGGTCATCCCGGCTGGTAGGTTTGGATATACTTAGTTTGGACGACCAGGTACTGAGAAGCATGCAACCATGGAGAAGCGATCACATTAATATTGAGTATTAGATGTCCACTATTACACAAAGAACAATGTGTGCACAACAACTTTGAAGACATGACAACGGTGAGTGCGCTCGAGATCTCACCCTAGCTAGAGCTTCGGAATAGATAACAGCTAAACGCTTGGTCAAGCGCTCAATGTCGCCTCCTGTCTCCCCCCAATAGAGAACCTGAACAATTGTTCATTATCTTTCCAAATGAACAGCAAACCAATATATTTCTCATGAAAAAAGTCTGAAACTGAAGAGAATAATCAGAACCAACCTTTTCCATTGCTCGGCTGGGAGTCATAGAAAGTAACTGTCGATGATTCTCTAAGTCATTGTCAATAGTTTTACCTGTGAACAGTTTACAAACAGTCCCAGTCACTTCCTGTTCTTAAGATTGTCAGGGTTGAAGACAGTTATCATAACATCCACAGTAAAGAGCTGAGAACAATGAGCAGGCATCTTTGATCGTCCGAATTCTTTTAAAAAGACACCCATGAGTACATACTACGCGTCCAGCCAACAAATTTGCTGCTAGCATCCGTAGTGGTGCCTTCATGTTGGCAAAATCCCAATGGCCAGACCAGTCTTCCAAAATGCACACAAGTTTTTTTGATAACTGTACTCAAAGGTATTTGCCTGTCATAGCCTTCAGATCATGGATCCCATTACTAAAAAGACAGAAGAGATGGATGTCGGTAAACAACCCTCTTCATTGGCAAGACGGTTCCAAGACTCAATCCTTAGAGCCCTTGTGTCTGCCTGCAGAGTGATGAGAGATGATTTAGATATGAGAAATGATAGAGATGATTTGTTTCTGAAACTTGCGAAAGTTTTGAAACGTCCTAGCAAAACTCATAAACTACATGGGTAAACCTTCTGCTTCCAAGATGAAATATTCAAAACCGAAACCTATATGCAAAACACACGGTGCCTTCTTCTACAATAAGAAGATTTTCAAACATAGAGAGCGTCCAGGTTGATTGTCTGCATGGTCAGGAGGTAGTTTCTCCATTACCACATGCCTACGAGCAGGTTTTGGCTATTGACTTACAATTACATTGTCCCAGGAATATATAAGCCCAAACGCTTCATCGGGCTTCATAGCATATCGTATTCTTTGAAGTCCTCTTTCTCGCATTCTATCATTCAAATAATCCTGTCACATCAATGAGAGCTTCACCTTCAGAAACACAAGAACGGTCGTCGAAATATGAACATATTAAAATGTGCAATTCACATCTTCATACGATGATTCATATGAATTCAGTGCTTGTCTTCTTCAGTCAACAACAGGCGAGACAATCTCGAATTATGAAGGTAATCAACGCATTGGTATATCCTTTATCAAGCCGGGGGATTGTGGAATATGTATGACCTGCGTCAAAGTTCCCTACTCTGAGCCAAGGATCACCACAGAGTTGGTTCTCTGGAGGCGGAAATGAATATGCTGACAGATGAAAGTTCACATGCTCGCAGCGATGAAGTGACTAGTGCACATGCTTCAACTAACTCCAAGTATTTTACAATTAATGAGAAACAGGCGAGCTGCCCAATCGTAGGAGAAGCTCCTTACAACATCCACATGCAGTGGGCCTCGAGGCCGATACGTAGCAAATCCTTCCCCGTGCTCCGCACCAATGGCCTATTAGCAAGACTTCCGTATGTCAATGAATGAACAAATGTCAAAGAGAAAATAATATCAGACAGCGTTAACTGTGTTTCAAAACTAAAGCTCAGTTGATATAGATTACAGGATGAAAAAAAATGCTCACCTCCTCTACAAAAAAATCGGTATTCTTTCTTGGACCCTGATGGGATCCATTATTGCCATCCGCTGATCCTGGCACTCTTGCCGACATTCTCGTTATTCTCGTTCTCCATGGCACTTGCTCCTTCTGCACAAGTGAGAGGTCTCAGATCGTAACATGCAAACCTTTGAGAACCACTGGCTATCTATGATCACAACGCAGTGAACACATAATCAATGCTGTCCAATGCTGCCCATACTTGCCACTCCCAGCTTCAAACAATTCTTCTGTGACATTGCATCCAATAAATACGTACAATACATATTGTTCACAAAGACAGACGACTACTTCCAGACGTCAATACTTGAGATATATGTAAATATCTAACGTGGCATGATAGTGCCTGGATAAAGAAGCACAAATGGTGAACACTTATAACTGGACTCAAGCTTTATGGCTGACACGATGAGCCGCAAGGTCGATCTTGGCAGGTCGGCTGTATTCATAAAGTTCAACCATCAGCCAACTTCAGATCTGTGTTGTTAATATAAAATATTAACAATAATACCCTAATAATACCCTCTAATACCCAGACTTTCACGTTGCAAGACATGACACATGTCTGAATCCCGACCTGATTGAGGTTGTTCACGATGATTATAGCTTCTTCCTGACATAAGACCCAAATCTGAAGAATATAAATGTGAACTAAACCTTCGAACTACGAGATCGACCAGACTTGAAATTCCATGTAGAACCAAAGATTCGAAGTATCTGAATTCTTATGAAGGAATGTATCATGCACAAGGATTCGGGGAAGCGTGTATGTCCAAACAACATTCTAACCAAGATTTCACGGACAAGGCCATGAATCGGCGAGAGCATAACCTCTGCTAAAGTAACCTAGCTGGATTCTTCAATTTGAGCACTACAGCTATCCCGCTACAATACTTGGATGTCAACATAGTATCCATTCCTAGAGCCACAGCTGTGAAAATCCCGCTGCAACAGACTCTTAGGCCTTACAAATATTATCCTTCAAAGAAATGTTATCGTCAAGTGTACAATAATCTCAAAGACGAAGACTACTCGCTGCGCTTAAAAACTTTGTCTCAGAGCACAAGACACGTTCTTTCTTACATATAATCACAGAAGTATATACAGTCAAAATCAAATCAGAAAAAGTAGGGAAGAACAGAAAACTTAATAATTCTCGTGAAATTGAAGTACTTGTAAACATTAGTCAGTCCGACTAAAATATGGCAAGAAACAGCATCATGCCCTTCTATTTTATAAAATTTATCTTGTATGTGTTCAATTCATTGCAATTCAAAGGCAATCTCAAAAGCAGTTGCTTCGAATGGGAGGTGGTAAGCAATCCAACATTCATGCTTTTGAGTTTGTTAGTCAGGAAAACATGCGACATCCTAAAATTATGACCTCAAAAACAAACCAGAACTACAACATCCAACGACAAAGCAGACACACTCACTCGTAGCAGAACAATGCGTCGAGAAGGAGCAAAATTGAAGGACCGAGCGCCCGCAGATGTCCAAAGCTCCAGCGCAGAAGGAGAAGCGGTGTTCATGTGCAGCAATTGACACGAGCACATTGTGCCTTCACTAAACTACAACAAGGAATAGAATTCTGGAGAAAAATCCGCCACCATATCTTGGTAATCACTCCAAAGGCATCCTTATGTCAAACAATCAGCAAAATTTCTCCTCAATTGAGTCCAACTGTCCCGACTCAGTTGATCCGAAATTTTCCTTGTTCAGCGTAGCCAGTGGCTCTTTGGCTATGGCTGCCACCTCCTCCCTCTCCCAATCCGCTCCACGGCACTCGTTTTCCGTCCTGCGCTCCCCATTGGTATTCTAAAACCGCCACATGGACTAAGAACAAGCTTTTTGTCTTCATTGCTAAAGAGATCCTATGGTGCCAAAGGGGCTGTCAAACTTCCAGGGGAACCTAGCGTTAAACTCTGGTCTTTAGTTCTAAGTACAGTGCGCGTTTATGACTAACTGACTCTCAGTCCCGGTTCTGAAAGGAACTTCCAAACTGCAGTAGTAGGATTCTCTGTAACCAAGTTGTGGAAGGGGTGGCACACCTCCTCGTGTTACTCGGTGTGGTCTTACTCGGTTTCACTTCAGCACTTTTAAAGAACACGTGTATCACGATCAAGTCTTCACTTGCACGCTTTCGTGCACTTTTGCTTTCTCTCGGTCTCCCCTCAAAACCAATGTCGTGTACTCGAATCTTGAAAATATTTACGCACAGAATTAACGTCGAGGGTCTCTACGCCGTTTAAGAGACCAATTGAGCCCTGCCTGATGGCAAAGTAAATGTGCACTGAGCATACGCCTCTTCAATAATCTTTTAAGCGTACTACCTCGTACCTCGTGATATTCTCTTGAACCAAGGAATTACATGTACTCTGATGCAATGCAATTGATTTTTCTCTCTCCGCATCCATCATTATGTAACTACGCTTCAGTTGATTATCAGGTTATTGTTATTGAATAATAACAATATAAAGACTCCATTGATCTTCGTCTTACCTTTAGCAATTACCCGACATGTTAACATATAGGGGAGAAGAATTGCGAACATCCGGCTCAATTCTGGCGCGCTGCTTATAGTCCGTACTTGTACGTATGAAGATTCGTTATTGAGTGATTCGAGACTTCATCTCCCGTTGTCATTTTACTCAACAACAATCACAGCTTTGATAAGTTGATACAACTTGATTCATAAGATGTAAATGGAACTATAAAAATATGAGACTCTAAGTAACGATCACATTCAAACTTTCACATGAAATCCATCAAACTTTTAGACGAAACTCATTAGATCACAACAAACCATCGTGACACCTTACGCCGTAACAAGTCATCAAAAGATGTCCACTAACTCCTCTTTTGCCGTAAACTCATCTCTCTGTACCTCGCTGCTTAGTGCCGCTAAAGAATAAAGTCATTGATTGGACCATGCAGTTCCTAAGCTGTTAATATTTCTCTCCATCGATTTGCTAAGTAAACCAATTGGAAGACCTCCCAGAATGATCTGTACACCTACGGAAAATCTTTTATCATCGAGTTCTCCTATCAAAACTTCTGTACATATCTAGACAAATTCCTGACGATGTACTTCAGCTCCGGTATCACAAGCTCTGTGATTCTATACAAAAAAAAACGTCTGTGCCAACACTTCAAGTTTACTACTGCCAGTCACATTCTCCAACCTCTTAACGAAAGCTCTGTTTCATCTAAGGTTCTGAAGGAAAACTGAAGATAATCTCAACCGTTTTATCTTACATTGCAGTAGACAATATCAGTAATTTTCTCTCCACATCCGGGACAATTGTTGACCTTCATGTCCGGATCATTAAGACACGGGCTACAATACATGGAATGCTTACAGCCAAGAATAACAGAACGACGAGGTTTAATCAGGCAAGCCTGACACATCACTCGAGTTCTCTTTCTCCTCAAGAGAGCCTTCTTCTTACCCAACTGACTTGCCAAACATGAGAGATCATTGATCACGACATCTGTCCGGATAACATCATCCGGCCCAATAGCACCCATTCCTTGTTCAATCTTCACTTCCACCTCTGCATCTGCATCCGCCTCTGCCTCTGCCTCTGAATCTTGCCACTGAGGTTTCAGTTCATCATCCTTTAAATTGACATTCATCGTATGCACCACAGAATTTCCATTTTCACACCCATGCACCTTCCTTGACATGACAGAAGGATCCCGGGAAGTCACCTTTTTCCTGCTAAGGACTTTCATCCTCACCTCCTTGACATCTTCAATCAGATCATCAACGACATTTCTGATGGTGTTAAGTACTTCAGGGGACGGAATCTGTACATTCACTCGTTCTCCTCTCGCATCTGCAGTCCTGCAAATTTCCTTCAGCAAACGCAGTGTGCTGTCGGCAAAACTTTTTAAATCAGATGTAGAAGACACATTTCGTCTCAAAAACTCCGCAATCTCCTCCTGTCGAGTTGCCTCGTGATCAAGACGGAAGGTGGTTCCCTCGGACGAGGTATACAGCACAGACGAGCCCTCCTGGCTTGACAAGCTCAGCCTGCGGGATTTCCTCCTCGGCATAATTGCAGGTTTCTCCGCGCACCCGGGGCTCGGACTCGGGCCCGAATTCCTCTCCTTCGCCTCCGCGCCTTCCATTATACGAGAGATCACCGGAGCATGTAACCACAAATCACTAGCTCCGCGAGCGCACAGACGGCTAAGAAAGGCGCCCTTCGAGCAATTTCCGAGCGGCGACGTCCTGCGCGCTCCTCGACGTGCAAGACCTGATTCGATTCGAACAATTGGCGAAGAAGAAGAGGAAGAACATCGATGGACGCCTCTCTTGCGGAAGCCTCTACGCGCTCACGCTACAGGGTTTCAAACAAACATTGGGCAAGGTTTGCAGAGCAGTCGGTTAGAAACTTGAATTCCTCGCTACTGTATCGCCATCTGTTGCGGAAGACGCTAATTTCGCTCACTGCATTCATTCTCGCCCGACAGGATGTGGACACGGCCGGCCCAATGGGACGCCCCCCTGCGGGCCCCGCCCGCGAGGACCGCCACCAACCAGCGTTCCTTCCTCAAGAAGCTTCTCGTTCGTCGTCCTCCGCGGTTCCGTCTGACCGCCTTCCGACGCCTTCTTCAAACCTAGGAGCCTCGCTAAACCTGCTTCCTGGTTTGAATTTCAAATCGTTCTTTCCGTGCACTCACTCGGCTCTCTGCCGAGTCCGGACTACTTTGGAGACATTCAGCCGGATGAATGCAATTCTCTACATTCTTACGAAGTTCCGTCCGCCCGTGTCTTCGGATTGAAGCATTTCTAGCCAGGACTGGAAAGCTCAAAAGTCTGGAGCCTTGAAAGTAATGTCACGACACCGAAACCAGATGGACTTGGTATTTGGCATCCGGAACCGAGGACGGTAAAATTAGTCTACAGGAAATCGAGTCAAACCGGTTCGGCAAAACCATTTCGTGTGCTCCCGAATGAGGTAAACTTTCCAATTCATATGTGTTAGGGTTTTATGTCACTCACGAGAGTAAAGTGTTTAACTTTGACTATAACCTCCTAATAGTAAACTACGTTGGTGATAGAATTGGAATATAACTTGGATTGAATATAACTTTTTAATAGTAACCTACATTGGTGTTAGTATTAGATGTCACTTATAAATAGAAAGCACATAGCTTTCTTATATACATTACATTAATATTAGTACTTTCTATAAACGTGTTGTTTGGTTTCAAGATTGACTTCATTTGCATATCTGTCTTATAATTGTGTTTAAATTCAAATTAATACACAAAAATTCGAATAAAAAAATTATTTAACATAATAATTAGAATTGAGTTTGAATTTAGATTAACACACACAAATTTGAGTGAAACAATTGATAATCATATATGTAGAAAAAAACTTCCTGAAACCCAAAAAAAATAAAATGTTGAGATAGACCTTTTGAATAAAGGTATGCCACATTATATTTTTCTCATAGCTATGTATTGTGATCATGATATGAATTTTAACTCTGAAATTACACTAGAACTGTCAACATTACATAGAATCATGTCACTATTGGCAATAGTGACGTACTCTTCTGATTGACAATGATTTTGGAATTTTACCTCACTAATGAAAGTATGACACTATTGGGAGTTTTAACTCTATAGCGAGAATTGATTTTGAAATATAATATTCTATTGGTAGGGTACAGGGAATTGTCAGGACTAGCGCAAGTTGACCATTTACATAAAACAGAATCGGATGTGATTATCTTACAGCTCCAATGAGTTGCTGCAGGATATCGACTGAACTTTCTCATCGATTTAAGTATGAAAGTCACTCCTGATTTTTATTAATTAACGGCAGTACATAACAACTATTTCTACTCCACAAAACATCATCGCAAAACAACTATTTCTACTCCACAAAACATCATCGCAAATTCACATGAAATCAAAACATGGATATGTCACGTATTATCCAATCTATGACAAAGTCTCATGATTCACTATGATCTATACTTTGCCCTTGATGTCAATATTTATGAAGAGATTACTCACAACAAGTTCAACACATCATCCTTGCAACTCTTGACTTGAAAATGATGCTAATGATGTAAATTTCACACCTTCAACACTTTACCAAAGAAAAATATATTTGAGTTATCAAAAAAATTTAAATAATTTAAATTCTATCCTAAATCAAACCCTAAATGTTCTTTTTAGCAATACAATTAGCAATAAAATATGCAAGAAATATTTTATATTAATTTAACATAATTATTTTTAAATTATAATTGAAAAAATGTCAAAACATGATAGAGTAAAATATATGGAGATAATGAAATTTTTATATGTTTTATTTCTACTTCTTATTCAAAACTTACACGTTATCCATTTATTACTTAAATTTTTCAATCAATAATTTTGATCAATGAATCTGCTCAAATGAGTTTATCATAACTTTTGGCTAAAACAATGTTAGTATAGTCAATATTATGATGTTGATATGTTTCAATTTGATAGCCATTATTTGATTTGATGCAAAAAAATGCTCTCTAACTATCACAATAAAGATATACTTATTCATTTTGATTCCATTTCAGTTATATGTTTATTTAATTGAATTGAATTCTTTATTGCATCTATTGCCGAATCTATTCAGAGTTTATTTTTGTAGTAAATTATAAACTTTGCAAGTGAAATCTTTTACAAGTTTAGTTTGTTTGTAAGTTTTTTCTTGTCCAGATAATGTACTCATGCAGTGTAACATTTGAATAAAAAAAAGTTTGGTTTTCAAGAAAATTCACCAAACAAAACATGATGTCTTTTATTTTAAAGATGATAATAACAATATATTGCATCTATATATCTTGAATTTACAAAAATAACTTGAATCATTTCTTCTAAATTTAATCTCTTCCCTTTCCATAGGATCTACTTATTCAAAAATCCTAAATCCCTAGTACTAATTAAAACAACATCATGTATAATTCACTAACTAAAATATATAAGTCTTGATTTTTTTCTCATGAATTATTGATGATATTTATTCATTCCATGAAGTTGATCGAAGTTCAAAATATTAAAAACTTGAAATGTGTTGAAACTAACTACATGAAAAAAATATTTCCATCATGATAAATCTATCAAGCACACTTTGAATATAATGGCATTATACAAAATTCAAAATTTTATGAACATCCATAAAATTTTGGTCTTATTAAACTTCTTTTATTTTGAATGTAAACTTTTATTGATTTATATATTAGTTATGATTGTATTTCATCTTTTCAAAATGAGCATGTCAATATCAGAAAAAAAATAATAAAGATACCAAAAATATTATGATCCACATTTTCTAAATACACAAATTAATCAAACACTCTATACAATTTTTGGTGTTTTTTAAATTTATGAAAATTTGCATTTAAGTGCACAAATAAATGCTTTGATTTGTATAATTTAAATAAACATCAATTTAATATAATCAACTTCATCTAATCAACTTTTTGTTGCATATACATAATTTTTTGTTAAAATTTATAACATAAATATAACAAAATTCATATAATCAAAAAAAATATCAAAAATTGCATAAGATGAGAAGAAATATATACATACAATATGTAAAAACAACACACACATACACAAAAAATCAACATATAGGTGATTCAAGTTAAGTTTAAGAAAATCAAAAAGTTTGAATGAAATTTAAAATGTTTAACAAAAGTAATGGCTTGACTTTCATTTGAAAGCAAATTTGCTAACAAATCAAGAAAGATTTAAACTTAAACCCTAATTAGGATTTTGTCCATCAGATGTTAATTAAAATTTTAATTAATACTAACAGTCTTACACTTAACTCACATTGTGGATACAATTTAGTTCATAATCTTATAATTGTTGATTCTACTCCAATGAAGATTACTTCTCAGCCGGAAATAACCTCAAAGAGCTAGGACGTTAGTTGGTGCTGGGATATTTATATCCTAGAGTTTGTGTATTACATAAAACATTCAGTACAGTTTCATGCATTTTCATGTGGACCTAGCCCTTTGTGGTAAACCACATAGCATTGTGTCTAAACTATCATTTGATATTTTTGGTTTTATATTTTTAATTAAAGCCAATAATAATTTCATTGGGAACATTTGTAGAAGTAAACATAACATAGTACAATTTCTAAACTAGAGCTAATTTGAACTGTATCGTAACCAGAACAAGATAGAGTATGAATATATAAAGGAAACAAAAATTGCCAATGAAAATTTACTTGCGGTTTTTATACAACTTTTGCAAAGTAACACAATGTTTTAGTAGACATTGTGCTAAATTAAAACTTTTCAAAGGAATAATGTTGATAAATTCATTAACAAAAATTAGTTGTCAATATTGATTAGCTTAATCCTTTTATCCAAAACTTCATCTTTGATAAATTTATGTACAATGTTTCACATTGCTATCCATAATTTTATTTGCAGTAAAATGTAACGCATTCTTACTAAAACAATGAAAATTTAAAACTTCTTGTCTTCAATTTCATCTTAGTGATAAGTTCGTAAAATCAAATAACTTTATTTGTTACTTGGTTTTACTACATATCCAACTTCCGTTATAGACTTATATGCACACTTTTGCAAAAATGAATCTTCAACTAATGCATGCATTATCAATTGTAAACACATACTTAATTATAGATTTCTTTTAGTCCAAAGTTCATATGTAATGAACATCAATTTTACATAGCAAAGGTTTGTCTGATAAAACATTAGAGAAAATAACTATAATTCTTAGTCTTTTTTACATACTTAAGATTTAGATTCATTGCTTCCCAATCCATTTCTTTGATTTTAACAAATAATTGCTCAACTTACTCATAATTAGAGCAATATAAGATTTTGTGCAATTAATCAGAAACATGAGGCTTTTTAGAACTTTATCATAGAAAATTAATGACATTTTTTTTATCATTAGCATAGATTTCACATTAAACTACAAAAAGTTTAAAATGTGCTGCCAAAAAAATCATATTTCTTTGTCGGCAAATGTCATGTTCGTCGCAAAGTATGTCATGTTAGGGTGGGGCTAGTTATCACTCACTTTGGATTAAGTAGCACTCACCCTAGTATACGGTCGACCAAGATTGGTTGAAGTTATAGGTGTCTGTGAGTTAAGTTTATGGCTCTTTTAACATGGCGGATCTCCTCAGAAGCCACTGTACTCCGCTACTATGGACTGCACACAACTTGCCTGCACCTCGGTTGCATGCAAGTTGCAAGACCAAATGCATGCGAATGCTGTTTCTTTATATGACCTCGGTTGTAGATGAGAACCAGAAGGGTGAAGACATAGCGTCATCACCTACACAACTCTGGCTCTTGTTGCTAAAGACAATTTGGTGCACCCAGTGCTTTTATTGTAACGCTGAAGTTTGCTAATCCATTCACGTCCAAAGTTTAATTCCATCGATTCAAAGTTAAAATTTGGCTAATTTCTTGATCTGATTCATTTCTCGCTCATCATGTTCATTCATCCTCACATTTGGCGGCCCTCGATTTCATTCCATTATGTCGAGGTTGTCATTGAATGCAAATCATGCATGCCTTCAACTGGATTCTTGCCATCGGGTTTGGGTCTGGATCAGCCGATTTAACGTGGAAGTTTTCTCGCTTATAACATCAAGATAAATCTGATTATCCTATGTGATCTTATATGAATTGTGGATTAGTTGGTAATTTGTGGCAAGCATAACGTGATGCTTTTAATTTATTCAAATTATCATTTCAAATCTTATAAAAAAAATTCATGTAATAATTTAGACTTGACCTGTTCATTTTGATATCATTGCATTCAACATTCAAGCTAGCGGCAGCCACAGGCATTTGGTCAGATCAGACCAATAGGAGGATCAGCCGAACTGAGATGCGAACGGGTTGCTGGCAGTCCACAGCAGCGGATATAGTGGCTTGCGAAGAGACGAGCCATG